GATGAATCCCAACAGGGTCCAGTCTAACAGTACAAAAATCAGCAGATAGCAGCTTGTTAAAATTATGGAAAGAGCGACAAAGAGAAAGAGGAGCTCACCATTATTGGCCATTTTGTTTGACTGTCACTTACGATGAGTCTATGAAGAATTGAACCACCTCAATGGCAAACCTGTCCCCAAATATAACACATAAGAACTCTGAAAACCGAGTGCAAAGATCCTGGTAATCTATATTACAATTCATATCGTACTACTTATCGTTTAACCATAGGTTGTAGTATGCAGCACTGGTCTGATGATGTCGATGACTATTGCGGTATAATCCACTATTTTAGCATCCAACGACTACATATAATCGTTTGCAGCCACCCAATGAAGTAAAATACTATGATTTGTTGGCACCAATCAAATGGAACATATAAGATTGGATTAAAAAGTTGGTCCACTAAAACAACGAAAGTACCAGGGGGAAAAGATGGAATGTTTGGGGGTTGTGAGTTGTTTATTGCAATTGTAGATCAGCCTAAACAGGTTGAACACACATAACCGTAGATCAACCTAAATGCATACTTAACAAAAAAGTAAGTGAATTCATCGAGCTGAGTTCACAAAAATCACAAATTCATCTCATATAAAATTAAGTCAGATTACTTGGGAGACAACCCAAGAAGATAAGGCAATGAAAGGAACATCAGTTGATGGAGAACAGAACAGAAGTAATTGATCTCTCTAATACACGCTGAAAATTGCAGGTACCACAGACCAAACCTCGAATCTAAATATGGAGAAAGTACAGAAGCAAGACAAATCTAACATTAATATAAGGGTGCGACTAATCATCGATCCTGCATTAATTGATGCATTCCTATCCCTTCAATCTCGTGTTGTTTTCATGCTATTTTACTGGTGCAAAGAGAGTTAGCGGACCACTGGGAAATCTCATTCTCAAAACTGAAAAAAAATTAAATAGAAAGGAATTACCCAATCCCCCGATTCATCCAGCTCTCTCCATCCTTTTATTCCATCTTGCGGCTAAAGTTGGCAAGGAAATCCTCGATCCATGGCTTCTCCATGCTGCTCGCTGTGAACTAAATTAACCGTAACTCGAGAAACGTCCGAGAGGAAGAGCTGTTGTGGGAGGTGGAAGGAAAGAGAAAAGGACTGGAAATTGTAGAGCTCTTCTTAAATACATATATCTTAATTTCTCCACCTGCAACATCATAAACTCAGTATAAACGTTGCTCTTCCTTTGAGAAAAATGATGCACTCCTATTTTCATAGACTAAATGTACCATCCCGTTTCGGTTAAACCCATATTTTGATTGTTAGAAATTATGCAATTTAAATCGAGTATTTCGACAGTATTTTGACGAAAATCGGATTATTGATTTATCGGATAAGTATTTGTATTAATTATATATAATTAGAAAAATATTAATTATATATAATTAGAAAAATGAAAAGTAAAGGAAAGTAAGCGGCCCATTACATTTACATACACACGTCAGAAACCCCCACCTCTCAATTTCTCATTACTTCAGTCCCATTTCTTTCTCCCATCATCATTTCATTACCGAGAGAAGAATGAACCGAACGCAGAACAGGGGAGCTCGGGGAAAATTTTCATAGCTCGATTCTTAAGCTCCACTGATCAAAAATCCCATAAGTAACACCTAATCCATCTATACATCATAGTTTATCGATTTAGAGATTTAAAACGAGTTTTTGGTTCAGGAATTTCTTGAATTCCCTATAAGCCAAATTAGGGTTTCGGAGTATCCGGAAGCCGGATTGAGCCCAAATTTCATATACGAGCATCCTGCAGTGAGGTAATTAATCATGTGGTTCTAATCCATGAATTTTGGCTATTATTTAGGTCGGAGCCGGGATCGCTGAATTTAGCTTCGGCCAGGGTTTGATGTGTTTTTATCGAGAATTGGATCCGAAGCTTAGTACCAACATTGACGGGGATAATGTAGGGGATATTAGGACAATCTCGGATTTTAATTCCGGGGTACGGGAGGCTAGAACCAGTGTTTGAACGACAAAAACTGCCGAGGGATTAACACGGCATAACGAGTTTGTCGTATCACAATAATTATATTGATGCTTAGAATTGACCTAGGTGAACTAGAATGGCATGATTATGGGTGTATGAACATTTGTGCTATATGTTGAACCCTTGACTGCTGTATGATATTATTGACTTGCCCTAATCGATATGGACCTTGTTTATGCTGATGATTGCATACATGTTGCCATTTGTGGCTTAACTGTTGATATGACTTCATGGTTGTTCGATCAGGTGTTTTGACATGATGTGATATTGTGGTTGTATTTGGATTCACAAGTGGGGGAAATAAACTTCCCAGGGTGATATTATGATGTTTTTAGGAGGATGACTTGCACGAGGGTTTATCCCGATGAAGTGCAACTATACGACTCATGGTTTACCTATGTTGAGCCAATTATGGTCAGGTCAAGTACATGTGCAAGTAAATGTGCAAGTAATGAATTATGATTAAGCAAGATGAGATATGAATCATGTATAAGGATACCAAATATGAGTGTTGTGATCTCACGGTCAACTACATAGTAATTAGGGCTCCCTATGCTATTACTCTATTATGATACGTATGATAGTCACACCTCTCATGTGGTGGTGACTGAAAATTTCTTACGAGATATGACCACACCCAGAGCGGTGTCGGGGTATGACTACACCCATAGTGGTGTGGGGTATGTATGACTACATCCGACGGGATGTGTGGTATGTTTCCCGGGAGAGTTATTAGCATGGGAGTAGCCAGGCGTCTATGATTAAAACATGATAAGATGCATATGCATAAGTCAAGTTGGTTGAGTCTTTTGCCTATTGGTATGTCAGATGGCTGAGGTCTGATCCTAGTGCTTTGGCTTGCTTGCTAGATGTATGGTACGGTTATGCTCTGTTATGAACTCACGATGCTACGATTATCTCACTCAGTTATGAACTGACCCTCTTTATCCTTTTTCTCTGCTTATGCCATGTGTAAGCAGATCATGATCATCTGCAGTAGTAGATAAATGTATAGGTGGGAGCTGAGCAAGAGTTGAAGGCAAGATGAGGTATGGTCTTCAACTATTTTGTGCTTGGACGACTACTTGAGATTTTGGCCAGTGATCCACACCTTTTTGTAAAAATGTTTTGAGAACATTTTCATGTGCATACTAGCTTCCGATGTAGTGTGAGATATCCACAGGTGTGGAAAGTTGATAATATGTGTATATTTGTGTAATTGTGTAAGTTGTGATAATTATGGCATGTATAGGTATGGTATGCAGTTGTGGAGTATGTAAACTGTGACGATGGCTATGAAAGCCAATGTATATGGTTGTGAGTATATATGTATGTCTACGAATGTAGGGATTCATATGAATTATTTTGTAGGATAAGTTGCAAGAACTGTTAGCCCATTACGCAAGTAATTCATCTCGAAATTTTATTTGGGTAAATTTTGGTAATTAATGTAACACCCGAGATTATTTCCGCTGCAAATTTATGAACAATATGATTAGGTAATACCTGTAGGGTAGGGTGTTACACTAAACACAGCCCCAACAATGCATTGAAGGCAAAGCAAAGTATGTGAGAAACATGAAAAAGAAGAAAATGAATATATGATATAATTTTTGTTTATAAATAGATAAATATTTATTGTGAAAGTGAAGCAGGAAAAAAGCAGTGCAGGGTAAGTGAGGAAAAGTGGGGAAACAGTACCTAAGGTAATAAGCAGCATTGGCCATTGTAACTCAAGCATACACAGAAGCATACAGTTCCTTTTATTATATGAAATAATGGACAAATAAATTTAGTTCACTAAGTCTTACCATGATTGCAATCCACATCAAACTATGGTTTCAGTTAAAGTTAGAGTGAACTGAATATACTTTGGGAAAACATATGTATATTCTCTTAAGTTACACAGGAAGCATAAGTGGCAGTGGCCTGGTGGGATGTTCAACAAAGGGTTGCATATATTAAGAAATAAATAAGCAACTCGGCAAATCCAGACCCTTGTAAAGAATTCAAGCATGGAGTTTAACTCTGGTCACTAACGTATAAACTAAAATGTTACTGCAAGTCATACAGATAGGAAGCATACCACTCAGGCATGATTTGGTGGCATCATTATATATCTCTTCCCGTAGATACCATGAAGACTACAAAGGATCCAAAAACACAACATGCTGTTGCTGCAACACACCAGCAAACACCAGAAAGTCCGAGATAAGCAGGGACATAAAGAGAGTTGAAAGTAAACAACAACCCAAAATACAAACAGACAGGGAAAACACAACAACTGAGAGTGCTTAAAGAGAGGAAGAACATATACTGAAAGAAGATCATGCCTCTTGTTCCAACTCGAAAATCCAAAAGGAAACGTCCAATTAGATGAGCAGAAACTAACAAAGTAAAAAAAACCCAAACATACCCATGCTGAAAAGGAAAATAAATCCACCAAAACATACCCTAGACGCCCGTCGATAACTGTTCCACTCCCGGCATTAGGCCATAGTTCCTCTTCCCGATGACTGCACTTCCTTCCTCCATATTGTCTCCTTCCAGCTTCCTAATTGCAGAATCAAAAAATTAAAAATAAGAAGAAATCAAAATTAAGAAGTAATCAAAATTCAAACCAGGAAAGGACCCACAAAATTCGTCCCACTCACTGTCGACCTTCTCGTCACCAGTGCAGTCGCTCATGTATTCACTCCTCTTCGCCGTCTCTAGAAGGAAAAAGGAGATGGAAGGTCTGCCCAAAAAATTAGAAAGGGAGAATAAATAAACCACATCTCAAATGAACAATGAAAGCAAGACAAATGAGTAAGAGAGAGTGAAACGAAGATCGTTAGGAAAACTTAAACACACAGGAAAGGAAAACTCACGATCTAGCCAACCAATCATAAAACAACACTCATGGTTCACCGTGACCAAAAGATTTTTGAAAAAAAAAAGTATGCGAGGAGCTCTCTCCTCGTGCTTAGCTTGGTCGCTCAGGCTGGGTGGCTGGCTGTTTCAGATCCTCGTTTCTCTTTGGCGTCGAAGCGTGGAGAATCAGAATGGTGAGGGGTCGAGGTCCATGGTGGACGTTTGGCCTGCGCATGGGCAAGGTGGCGTTCATGTTTGCCGTCGTTCAACAAGAAGGGTGCCGCCGTTGACCAGTTTTCGGTCGTGTAATCGAATTCCGACACGTGGTCTGGTGATCCCCAGCAAGGGGCTTTATAAAAGGAAGAGATCCCAGCTGTGCGACGATGCTCTTCCCTCGCATAGCCACCCCGTAACAAACCTAAGGCCTGCAAAAAGGTGCAGGTTGGGTCGTCTCTTGGGTTGGAGATTTTGGCTCCCCCCGTCGCCAGATTTGGTAGGCGATGCTTCGTTGTTATCCACGTCTGATAAGTCTTTTCAATCAAGTGGAAACCCGAATAGGGATGCTGAAGACCTGACCAGCCGGATTCCGGCGGGTTTCGAGCCGGCAGTGAAGACTTGGCATTTATTTCCGATTATTTGGCCGGTGTGTGAGTCACCGGATTCGCGATCCTGCCCTCCTGCCGGCGAGACTCTGCGGCCGACGGCGTGTAGAGTCTCTTTACAGATCCGTGTGAATTTGGGTCGTCGTGTAGTGTTGATGGGATCGAGATCTTTCCCGGATTTTGCGAGATTATTGGGCGGTTATGGGTGGAATCATACCCACCGGGAAAAATATATTCCCTCGTATCATATTGTTTATGGGAGTCCAGTTTCCATTAAACCTCTTACTCGAATGAACAACTTCCCGGGGAGGGGTGAGTTTGAACGGGGTTTGGGATTAGTATTTAATCCCATGCTGGCAGCGAGGCGCTCCCTACTTTCCATTGAGAAAGAGCTTTCCGGAATTACGCCTGCCGAGCCTTCATCTCAAAACCTTGCTGTCGCTGAGCGTTCAGGTACGGAGACTTCCCTTCAGCTCTTCATTGAGCCTGCGCCTCCTCCTGTTACAGGCGTCGCGTACTCTCCCTCAAGGAGGTCCAGTCAACGAGGTTTCAGGCGTCGCGTACTCACCTGGGGAGATTATTCACTAATGATCTGATTTCGAAGTTGGAGCTACGTGATGGTTTGCTTGGTGCATGGAAGCTAAGCGGACAACTCAAGGTCTTGAAAACCAAGTATGGCTTGTTTGAAATTATTCTGCAGAATGAGGAAGCAAAGAAGTGGGCATTAGCTCGTAGCCCTTGGATCATCAAGGACAAATTGCTGACGCTTCGCTCCTGGTCTCCGAACATCACCAAGCAAAATTTTGAGGAGATGTCCCTGGCCCCTTTTCGGCTCCAGCTTTGGGGAGTTAAGGAGGATTTTCGTACTAAACTCTTTGGTCAGAAAATCATTGCCTCTGCTGTTGGTGAGGTTCTCGACTCAAACATTTTTGCTTGTAATGAGACGGGCGAGTGCTTTATTAAAGTTCAAGCTATTATTGATTTTGCCAAGCCTCTCCGGTCACAAGTGATGGGGGTCAGTGAGGAAACTGATAGCTTCTGGGTGAGCCTCAAATACGAATATTTATCCAGTTTCTGTTTCTATTGTGGCCGGGTAGGCCGTGCTTGGCGTGATTGTGTCTTTGACCCTCCAAAAGGAAAAGAACGTTTCGGTCCCCACATGACGACTAAGAAATTGGGACGAAAAATTTACGATGATGATGAGCAGTCGATGGTGTTTGGGGGATCGAGGAGCTCGGTGTGGATCAATCGCCAACCGCGCGGGCTAGTAACGGAGGCTGGGCGGAAGGAGAACAATAAGGCGGGTCGATTCCATACAAAGGGCCCAGTGAGTCGGCAGAGGGATGAACCCATGCCAGCTGTTCGGGAAAGCGTGGATCCCCGACAGGAAGATATGCAGGTGGATATGGAGCTGGTGCGATCGCTGATGCGGCGCCAGAGCCCCACAGGGTTTGTCATTAATCGGGCTCCCAAAGTTAAATTTGGTGGAGGTGGGAAGCAGAAGCAGATGGCGCCTATGAAGGAGACTGCCAGCCCGGCTCTCAAAGGAAAGAAGGGGGTGCGTCGGCCTCAGAACTCGGTGCGATCAGGCCGGGGGTCGCCTACCCAGGCAGTCGTGGCTCAGATAGTTGGAATAGTGGAGCAGTCCCGGCGTTGTCGGCTCATCCTTGAGCAAGACTTGGACGATGACATGGCGGACCTGCCCCAGCCGAAGGAGCAGGTCATTCCACTATACCAACCGACGAGTCTGGACACCAAGCCTTGCTCTGACCAGGTGTGGAAAACTGAGGTTCCAAATACTGGGACTGTGAAGCTGGTGAAGAGGCGCTTGCGTCGCAACGCCTCCAAAGTCGTTGCAGTTGGCGCGGGTGGTGTTATTGATCCTGCTCCACTGCCAGTCGATGAACCTCGTGGTGCTCGGAAGTCCCGCCAAGTTTGTGTGGTGCATGGGGAGGAGATCCATGAGAGGGGGGGGGGGGGGTAAAGCTACTACTTCCCTTCCCACGTCCCACAAAGTTGCTCTCTCGGCTGGTGAGGAGGCTGATGAATCAGCTAGCGGGGCTGATGAGGCTGGTGAGGGCGCTCCACCTGTTGCCGATGCGGTGAAGTTGAGGAAAGATGGCTCTCCCATGCCGAGTGACTCGGAGGGCTCGGGGATGGGTGCTGATAATCAATGCTTCAAAATCAGAAAACGTGTCCCGGTCTCCGCCTCGGTGGGAACTCGTCGGGGAATTTTGGGGCAGGTCTCCCAAGTTGTAGCAGCTTTCGAGGCTGGATTGGCTATTGATCAAGGTAAAATGGAATCGGGTATGGTCAAAGGCGAAGTAGTCCGTTCGAATTCGGCGCATGAAGGAGTGCATGAGGAGGGGGCGGAGGAGATCGATGAGTATGGGTCAAACATGACCAACCCAGTGTTTGGAACCCGCAAACACTCTTTGGCATCTATCGAGGGTGAAGTTGGCACCCCTCCCACGCCAAAGAAGAACTTTGTGGAAGTTGTTGATGTTTATGAAAAGGAGAAGGTGGAGGAAGCCAACATCGAATGGCCCCAGTCCGATAAATGAAGCTTCTCTCCTGGAATGTGCAGGTAATTGGGCCATCCCTCACATTCCAAACGGCTGCAGGTTTAGTGCGTTCAAATAAACTAGATCTCGCGTTTTTCTCGGAAACTCGATCAAGCCGGCGTGTTGTTTCCCGTCGAATGCGGGGTTTAGGTTTTGATCTTTCTCAGTGTTTTTTTGTGTATGTGATTGATTCGTCCGGTGGTTTAATAGTAGCGTGGTCCCCCGGAGTTGATGCTTCGGTGTTTTATCATTCCAACTTCTGTATTTGTTCCCAAATTAATGAAGTGGATTTTTCTTATATTGTGATTTTTGTTTATATTAGCTGTCGTTCTGATGTTCAAACCGGGCAATTGGCTCACATTCAAGAATTATGTTCCTCCCTTACCCTACCCTATGTGGTCATTGGAGATTTCAACACTACGCTTCATATGGGTGAAAAAGATGGTGGTAATCCGTGGAATGGTGCCCAGTCGGTAAGTTTGAGGGATTTTATCCAGGACCTGGGTCTACCTGATCCTGGCTTCCTTGGTGATCCGTTCACTTGGACTAATCGAAGGATGGGAGTAGCATGCATTCGTGAAAGGTTGGATAGGGCCCTTTGCTCTCATACTTGGGTGGACCGGTTCCCTGAAACCTTGGTCAAACATTTCATGGACCAGGGCTCTGGCCATCGCGCTCTCCTTCTATCGGATAAACCCTACGCTCGGAACAGCCGTCCCCTTTTTCGGTTTGATGCCCGGTGGGCGGATAATGCGGAAGTAGGAGCTGTGGTTTGCTATGTTTGGCAGGAGGATATTCAGGGGACGCCTATGTTCTGTCTTTGGGAACGCCTCAAGCGACTCCGCCATTTGTTATATGACTGGAGTAGGGCAGGCACCACCAACTCATTTCGGAATATCAAAACTCTCCAGAGTGAAATTGAGATGGTGAAACTTGTCCAACCTATTAACTGGGACGAAGTTAGAAATCTAGAGATGGAATTGAATCGTCAGTGGGAGGCGGAGGAGGCGTATTGGCAACAGAAGTCTGGGGTTCACTGGCTGAAGAAGGGTGAAAAAAATACGGCCTACTTTTATACAGTGACCAGAGTTCGGCGTAAAAGAAACTTTGTTGAAGGCCTTCGTAGGGAGAATGGGGAGTGGGTTACGGATGAGAGTGAGAAGGCTAATATTGCAACATCTTTTTATCAGCATCTCTTAACCACAAAGAATCAGGTCGATAACATGGCTGAGCGTATCGCAGATTTACCTATTGCTCGGAATGTAACTCCTAAGATGAACGCTAGCCTAACGGCTGAAGTCCTCCCTAGTGAAGTTCGTAAAATGGTGTTTGCAATGGGGTCGAAGCAGGTGCCTGGGTCGGATGGTTTCACTGGCAAATTCTTCAAAACCTTCTGGGATGTTGTGGGTCCTTCGGGTGGTGGACGCGGTGTGTTCGTTCTTTGTGACAAGTCGAATACTCCATAGTTTCAATCACACCTGGCTGACTTTGATTCCGAAGGTTGATAAGGTGGAGTCCATGCGACAATTACGTCCTATTAGCCTTTGTCAGTTTGTTGATAAAGTTATTACCAAAATCATGGCCGAGCGGCTGGCTTGTTTCTTGCCTCAGATTGTTTCGGAGGGGCAGAATGCGTTTATCCGGGACCGGCAGATTGTTGAGAATATACTCTTGGGTCATGAGTTAATGCATTATTTGAATATCAAAACGCGGGTTAAGAAAGGTTACATGGGTCTAAAGGTTGACATGGAAAAGGCCTATGATAGAGTCGAATGGACCTTTCTTCTAGCTGTTTTGAAAAAAATGGGCTTTAAATCTACCTGGCGAGGGTGGATTCAGGAATGTCTCCAGTCTGCTTCTTTCACAGTCCTCATGAATGGTACCCCCTCAGGTTATTTCACCTCTTCCAGAGGGTTACGACAAGGGGATCCTTTATCCCCTATTATTTGTGCTTTGTACTGAGGGCTTTGCGACGCTCCTTCGAAAAGCTATCTTGGATGACCGGTTGGGAGGAGTTAAGGTGGCCCCGCGTGCACCCCGGATTTCTCATTTATTCTTCGCGAATGATTCTTATCTTTTTCTGAGAGATACTCTCTAGGAATGTGAAAATTTGATAGAAGTTCTGAATGAATATGAGGAACTGAGTGGCCAGTGGGTGAATTTGGATAAATCGGCTGTTTGTTTTAGCCGGAATATTGTTTGCGCGGATCAGGAGTTTTTGCCTGCTTTTTTGGGGGTGGGAGCAGTGGGGGTTCATGACAAATACCTTGGGCTACCCACTCTGATTGCGCGTTCCAAAATGGCCACGTTCAGGTACCTCGAGGAGAAGTTATTAGAGCGTCTGCGGGGTTGGAAACAAAAGATCTTATCCTGGGCAGCAAAGGAGACTTCGATTAAATCCATTGCTTTGGCTCTGCCACTGCATGTGACGTCTTGCTTCAAGCTACCAATTTCTTTGTGTCGCCTCTTAGACAAACATGTAGCCCGCTTCTGGTGGGGGGTGACTGAGGAACATTTTCGTATTCGTTGGAAGTCCTGGCGGAATATGTGCCGTAGTAAGCATGATGGGGGGTTGGGATTTCGCCGCTTTGAGCAATTTAATCAAGCGTTATTAGCTAAGGTTGGGTGGCGTATTCTTACGGAGCCCCAATCCATGTTGGCTCAGGTTTACAAGGGCAAGTATTTCCCAACAGGCACATTTCTTGACGCGACGGCTCGGTCCCGCCCTTTGTGGGGTTAGCAAAGTATCCTTTATGGAAGAGAATTATTGAGAAGGGTTTGCGGTGGCAAATCGGGAATGGTTGGTCTGTTTCGCTCCTCCATTCTAATTGGATTCCTGCTCTTCAGTTAGATCCTCCTAGGTTCAACCCTCGAGTCTTACCAGAGGGGGGCAATCTGACTGTTGCTAAGGTAATCTGTCAGGGGGAGGGGCTGGAGTGGCCAAAAGCTTAGCCAATGGTTTGACCACCGACCTGCTGTGCCATCAAGACTATACCTCTCCCGAGGCGGCCGGTAGAGGTTAGGCTAATATGACATGACTCCCCGGATGAGGTGTTCTCGGTGAAGTCTGCCTAAATTTAGCAGTCTCTCTTGATAAGCGTGGGGGGGGGGGGTTGGAAGTTAACGGTTAATTGGATGGATAGATCAAGCTGGATTCGTGTGTGGGAAGCCGATATTCCTCCCAAGTTGAAGGTCTTTCTCTGGTAGATTCTTAACCGGATCTTGCCTACTATTGAGGCTCTTGTTGAGAAACAGGCCCCTTTACTTCCTAAATGCCCAGTGTGTTGGGCAAGTTCGGAAACTATGGATCACCTTTTTCTTGATTGCCCAGTAGCGCGGGCCCTGTGGGATTATTCTAGTCTAGCTCACTTAGGTGAGGGGCTTCCTCTGGAGGATTTGGCGATCACCAGCCTAATGTTTTTATGGCTGTCGTGGCTATCCTCTGGAGGATTTGGCGATCGCGCACCTGGGTTGTCTTTTAGGGCAAGCAGTTTGTGTTTCCAGCCCTCGTGCGCCAATTTCAACAACAATATGAGGAGTGGGTCTGGTTGGCAGTGGATAAAGCTTCACGTGGTCGACCAGAGCCGACCCACCAGGCCCAAAGTAGGGTGGAAGGGGTTGTTTGCATGTGGGATGGGGCTGTTCGGGCTGGATCGCACTCTGCTGGTGGTTTGGTTATTCTGACCCCGGATCGAGAGGTTTTAATGGTAATGGGTGTGCAGTTTCCGTGGCTTGATGACCCCTTGGTTGTAGAGTTGGTTACTCTTCGTGAAGCTGTTCTGTGGTGTCAATCACTCGGATTTGCGAAGGTCAACTTTGAAGGGATGCAAAAGTTCTCATTGATAAAATCAACAAGGCGGATCCTAGAGATAGTCGGTTAGGGGCTGTGTTGGAGGAACTCATTAAGATTTTTTACAGTAGCTATGGGTTTAGTGTTAGATTTGTTGGTCGGAGTAGCAATAGGGTAGCCCATTTGGTGGCTAGAAAGGCCCTCTCTTTGTACCCGATTATGAGTCGTTCTTTTGATTTCCAGGCCTGGCTGTCTTCCAGGATGTAACTATCTTTTTTATCAATACATGATTATCTTTTATCAAAAAAAAAATCATAAAACAACACTCTTTCAGTGGTAAGCTCATCGGTGTGTCCCTGATCGCAGATTTAGGAGCTTGCGGAGAGAGAAAGAGACATAATTGGAGCTAGTTTGGAAGAGGAAGACAACACAAAATGACGATCGAGTTGAGCGGTTTTCTTTCTGCTTCCTCTTCTTCTCCTGGTTCTCCTTCTCCTTCTTCCTCCTCCTCCTTCGTCTTCTTCCGATGAGAAAAGGGGAGAGATGGAGCTCAATGGGTGAGTGGGTGATAGTGGTTGCAGGAAAGAGATGAATATGACATATGAGTGGATGAGAGAAAAGCAAGAGAGAGTCAGAAAGCAGGATAAAAGGAGGAAAGGTGATGGGAAGGAATAAAGAAACAAAACATAATAACATTTTTGGTCCTTACATTTTGGTTAAGTACGACAAAGAGTACCTTTGGTTATTGATAACGATGTAATTGCACATATTTGCGCCCCTAGTTCTTATCCGTTTGAGGGGCATAGTCGTGTATTTGTGGCCTATTTTACGTCGGGTTGTGCTACTTTTTCATATTTTAGGTCCCAGGCGTCAAAGGAAAGGCTAAGCACGAGTTTCGGGGCATTCGGAAGTCATTTCGTCGAGCTGGAGCCAAAACACGGGCACACCTAAAACAGAACACGACCGTGTTCTGTGACCGAGTTTGGCAAATTCAAGCTGCAAACACGGGCTGAAAGCACGGCCGTGTCCACCCAAAGCACGGCCGTGTCCTCCCTAAAGCACGGCCGTGTTTCTCCCAACACAATGGTCATGTAATTAACCCTAGCCAAAGCACGGGCGGGCTGATGCATTACACGGCCGTGCCCTCGACCGTGCTTTGGCCACTGATGCCCTTTTAAGCAGATTTCAGCCAAAACAGAAGGGGATTCGAGTTTTAGAGAGACAGAGCGATTCCTAGAGAGAAAAAGCGACGAACAAGAGTCTCCAAGTGCCCTAGCTTGATCTTCAACACCATTGGAGGCCAGTTTGAGCTTGGAGAAGTGCCGATCAACGTCCAGAAGCAGGAATCCATGCTTCACAGTATGAATTCCGCGTCTGATTCTGCTTTTGCTTCTTTCTCCATGGAGTAGTTCTCCCATTCATCTGGGTATGGAGAACCCTAGATTTGTATGTTAGGTTTGATTGTATGAACCCAAGTATTGATTCTATGATTTGATTAAATTCGATTGAGGTTTGAATAATTGAATGGCATGAATCCTGATCAAATTCCTGTTGTTTCTGCTTTAACCTAGAATGAGAATATCTGCCTAGGTAGATAGAGCATCCTTGATTGAAGGTAGGGAGTTGGTGACTTTAGTCGAGGAGCCAACTCACTATTTTGTACCGGATTTACTTCGGTAGTGGAGGTTTTGTTTGTTAAGGCCTCAATCTGTTTACTCCGGTGGAGGTTAGTCGCCCGCTAGAGACTCAGATTGAGAGGGTCTGAAGACCTTTAATCGAGACTTCAGGCTATTTAAGAACCTTCAGCAGTATAACTATCATAGAAACTGAACTTGGTAATTACAATCCGGCTTAACTGCAGTCTAGGGGGAACCATATCCGGGTGACCTCTCTTAACCTGAATACAACAATTTACTTGCTTTGTTAGTTTGTTAGTTTAGACTTGCATTAAAGTTTCATTGCTAGATAACAAGAATTCACTGAGTAGTCATCAAATCTAGGACCCGGGTTGACATTTAAACCTAAACCCGCTATACTACGCTTTAGAAGTGGTTTCACTTGGCCAATTCCTAGAGTGACAGTAGAAGTGAGTCAGTTATATGATTATATGAAAGAGAGTGTCAAAAGTTAACTAATTAAAATCTTAATAGTTGGGTTCAATTGTCAAAAGTTAATTAATTAGAACTTGAATATCACAAAAACTCCCTCAAGCTTCAATGATTTAAGCGTGCAAAACTCGTTGTTTAGCCAAAAATTGTAAATACTTAGTTCAACTCGCTTACACCGGATCGAAGTAGGTCGAATACCCATTGATTTGGGTTCAATTTGAGTAGGGATGGCAATGGGTCGGGTCGGGGGCGGATAGTGCATATCCGTTACCCTACTCAAAGTACTTCGGGTTTTACCCATACCCATACCCACATGTGAAACGGGTAGAAAATCAAAACCATGCCCATACCCGTTCGGGTTTCGGGTATCCACGGTTATCCATTGGTAATCATTTCTCTTCATAACTTCAACCAATATGTTAACATTCACACGAATTCTCACATTACGTAAGAGGAAAAGTACGACAATAATTCACTAGAATGAAGAAATTAATTAAAACAACACAATTTCATGAAAATATTATACTTATATGGTAAATATAAAATATGTTAGAGAAAAATAATGATT